ATGATATTCATGTTATAAATTATGGGCCTAATAATGGTAAAATAATTGCTATTCTTCAGGGTGCAACAGGCTAAGGAGCTGGCTGTTCAGTTTTTCTACTACGCACATTTTTAAGCCTGTTTTCCAAGTTGCTGAAACTGTTCATTATTAGCACCTGGCTAACCAAGATGGCTAACTAGTGCAAAAACCGGACGCTCATGTTCAAATAAGGTAAATGCCAGACTTGAGGCTTCGAAACAGCAGCCCACAATGCAATGAGTGACATCCATCTTTTATATACAGTCTATGGTATTTTCAGTTTTAAAAATAAGTGCAATCATTCTTCCCATTTATAACACACTGCTTGCTAGTGACAAAGTCACAAAGCAGGCTTATGACATACTACAGCTTAAATTAGATTGTTTGCCATGATCTTCAAGCAAAAAGCTTTCACAGAGACAGGGTATGGCTGTTCAGGCTGACACCACTCTCGTTAGTAGAAAGGGAAGAATTTGTTGTTATCAAACCAGCTTTAATAGAGACAAAGCTGCAACAGTGTAGCATCAGTCGCTCGATGCAGGACACTGGGGAAATAACTATATTTGCTGTTTCTGCAGGTGTTTGGGCATTATTGATCATGATCGATCAGAAAAAATGTGGATTTTCTGCCAAACTAACGCTGCATCCCACTAGGCACTGTGACGATTACTAGAATATTACCAATGACTCACTTGTACCTAAAGTGTCATGGTTTTGCGAATGCTGGGCAGTGAGATGGACCAAAGAAGTCATTCTGTGAATCGTGCTGCTCACACCACTTGCTTGCAGGGAGCGCTTTTGAGCCATCCAAAGCTCAGCAAGACCGTGCAGCAAAGGCAAAATGTTTGGCTTTACCTTGGTTTCTCTTTGGTTTGTAGATAAAGTGATCACCTGGATTGGGGGGAGGGGCCACGTCCTGCCCCTGTCTGGCTAGTAAAGGGTCATACTCCTTGCCGTCATAGTTGGCGTCGAAGAACTTCTTGAACCACTGCACAAATTCAAAGTTGTCCTGGAATTTCCCTTTTACAAGCTTTTCTACAGGAATTATCTGGACAATGAAAACAGGAAATAGTTGAAAAGCTTCACTTGATACACACACGTATATCAGTATGAAAGGTAAAACAATTAATTATCTCAGGTATCATGAATGAAATAAAAAATAAAACCATAATAAAGTGATTCTGACTTTGTCGACACTCATCCGTTTAAAAGCTGCCTGAAGAACTTTGAAGTTGTGTATAAATTCATGCTCCAGCTTGGCTTGAAATTTGACCTTCTTCAGAAGAATGCACCCCGGAAACAACATGTCCATGAACTGGCAATACGCCGCTCCTTGAAAACATAAAGACACAACAAATCGATCTCGTTATTTCGGTCAAGAGTTGCCCCAAAATTACCTCAGCAGCTTATTTCAGGGGAAAAAATAACCTCAGGCCTCACCTGAACAGAGCTGTTCAATCTTGGTGTAAGTGAGATGCAAAGAGTCGTTGACCCACGCCAGCATGTCATGTCGGCTGAGGTTGTCAATGGACACAGATGTTGCGTACACATTCACTGCCATCCCTGAGTGGAAAAGAGAGAAACAACCACTCAGCTACATTTTCCTGTTAGCAAGACTTGAAAACCTTAAATGGAAGTTGAAGGAAGAATATTGGTCAATGATTAATCTCTCTGATTGGTCAGTGCAAGGTATGAGTATAAAAATGTAGGGATTGTCTTTATAGTATAATCTAGGCAAAGTAACCATTCTGCATGCTCCTTAACCAAGCTACCAACTACTGTACATAACATTTACCAAGCTTCTTATATTGGATTTGAAAGACTGAAACAGGACTTATTTAGGCCTTAAATAATGATTATTATTGCAATTAATTACTTGCTAAAAACAATGTGCCTATTTCTCATGCAAACACTGCAAAACATATAAACCTACTATACATGATTATTATGCCATTATCTACTACACCACTATGGCTTTTTATCACTAACAATTAACAATCATTATTAATTAGTTTTTAAACTGTGGCTTTCTTCCATGTGTTCCTTTTCCCTCTGCTCTTTTATCTTTCCCCTCACCCCCAACCAGCTACAACTGCTCCTCCCTAATCCTAGTCCTGCCAGAGGCTTCTTCCTGTTAAAAGGGAGTTTTTCCTTCCCACTGTCACCAGCACTTGCTCATAGAGTGTCAACTGATTGTTGGAGTTTTCTCTCTAATATTATAAGGTCTTTAACTTACAGTATCAAAGCACCCGAGGGTTGCTGTGATTTGGCGCTATATAAACAATGTTTATCTCGGTTAAACATAAAGAGATAGCAACACATTCTAGAAGCTGGAATTAGGAAATGTTAAACTGACTTCTGACTTCATTAACTTGTGAATCTACATCACTGCACTACTTTCACTGAATCCATTTGTTTTGTTTTTTTACTGCACTGACCTGGATTTCTTCATTGGGCCATGTTAATATTAAACCCTATAATCTATACAGGCAGATTCCAAAACTGCACTGCAGTTTCTTCAATTTTTAGGAATTATTTTTTCACCCCCTGTCTGACTGTAAATCCTGGGGCTGGGCCACAGTCTGTTGCAGCTGTAAAGCCCACTGAGAATGGGGATATCAAGCTTTTAGGGAGGAAATTTGACTTTCAGACATAAACTGAGTCCCTAAGAAGCATCTTTATTCTCAGTTCTAATCTAAAAATGTGTTTCAAGCATAATCCTCCCTGATTATACAGAGAAAAAAAATCCGGAGTATTTGTCAGCAGCTTTACACATCTGGCATCTCCAGCCTTCTCTGTGCTCACTTTGCTTGCCTGTTAATGCGGTGTCATGTCCAAATGATCTTGTAACACCTCAGACCTTTCCTGCACCAATATGCATATTAACACGGGCAACGTGGCGACTTTAAAATGATGCTTTTTAAGGTCACACGCCGCTCTGTCTGCACCTGACAGCCAAAGACTAATGAAACCACGTCTGTCAGTTTTTAGTTTGATGCTGAATCGTGCTGTGATTTCTGATGATAACACTTCTATTGTGAATGCACCTTCAGCAACGCATTCTCCCACGGGCCATTGGCTATACTGAAATTGCATGGCTGTAGCGTCTAACCCCACGAGCAACTACTAGCCAGGATGAGGAAAAAATCACAATGTTTCAGCTACATGAGCAGCAAAGGACCACGCAGTGGGCGTACATTTATTAAATAAGCGCACGAAGGGAAGTCTATCTATTCTCCAAAAATCTATCGGGCCTTGGAAAAAGCTCCCATAATGACTGCAGCAAAAAATAAATAAATAAAATCCTGAGCGCAAACCGCTGAAGTCAAGCAAGAGCAAATGGGCGGGGGTCTGACATTTCAACCCGAGCTGAGAACAATAAATGTGCTCGTTTGCTGGGTGCTTTTGGTTAAAAAAGCCGCAACGCTGGGTGCTGCTCTCATAGCGGCCCCCTCTACAGGCCTCCCCGAATACCTCAGGACTGTCAGCACACGGGAAATATCCTCGCTGCATGGGAATAAAGCACAGCTCCCCGTTAAACCCCTTTACGCGCAGAAAAAGGAGAGATTTAAGAGACGGGGTGGGTCGGCAGGGCGTAAATGCGGCGATACTCACTGTATTCAGGAGCGTCTGTGGTGTTATCACGCTGGCAGTATTCCTTATGTCAATGCCCGTTGCTGTCGTCGTTGTCAGACCCTGCGCGGTGCAGTGCTTGGTAACGGGCCGCCCTGTCTGGGGCTGCAACAATTCAGCCTCTACTGCGCGTGCGCCCGACTCCATGCTGTTAAAGGTTCATTATAAATAGGACTTTGGCCTGTTCCAGCTAAGAGACACATGATGTGTCTGGTTGGATCTTAGGACTGCGAGTGACTAAGGTTTTTGTGGGGTCAGGCTTCACATGTTGCTGTTTTATCTGCTGCTGGATAAGATATGTGAACGAAGGACAAAGTGGAGTGATCATTTTTTACAAAAGAACTGTTTTAGAATTTCTATGGGTTGATTTAATGTGCAAACTGCTGTTAATACTGCTGGGTCCAGTATTTTAGTTGTGATCTGTATCTATTATATCTACAGTATAAATTGCATTTAGTTTGACAGTTTCCAATCAAGTGGTCAGACCCTTTTTGAAAAAGAAGAAAAAGCACTCTTATATTTTTTGTCTAATTATATATGCCATCTGTTTTCAGTTATTTACATTTGCCCTATTAAGTGAAAATTGTTATTGGTAAAATGTGACGAAGGAGCCTAACAAGCCAAAAGAGTTACTAGCAATGGCAAATGTCTGCGAAATATAGAGAAGTATGAAAAATGTAATGTAAAAGCATAAAACTGGATAAAATTGTAATTTTCCTGTGAAAGAATGTGCAGTATATCGAGTATAGTCAGGAATCAGACACAGGATTTGATTTCATTGTTGTTTATTTGCACTCACATCATGTGATAGAGAGCTCCAAGGGGCGAAAAAAGGAGATAAAAGGATTCAATGTGACGACACATTGTTCAGCACCAGTGTACGTTAGGTGGGGAAAAGACACAGCATAATGCACTGGAGCAAAATGTGAACTCTGTCCAAAAAGAAACAGTGATGGAGGAGTTTTACTAGAACATGCATGAAGATCTTGTGAACATAACTGATTCTAAAATGAGCTAAATCCTGAATGCATGATCAAAATACAAAAAAAGAGAGAGAATCGGTTGCCGAGACAAATATTCACGAGTAGTAACTACAAAATGAACAGTAAAAATACAGTATTAGAGAACTTGAAAAAGTATCAGTGCTTTTCTGTAGTTGCTAAACAAACATACAAACTTTCAGTGTCATAAGAAGGCATTTGATCCTCTGAAGATTTCAACTTTATGAACACTAAAGTGGATCCCTTCACCGCTTCTATACAGAGCTTAACAAATTTTATCAGACCACCTGTCATAAAAAGAAGAAACACAAATATTTTATAAATCTGTCAAAAACTTACTAAAAACTAAAATTATATTGTTTGTTAGGCAAGTAAAATATACTTTTTTATACCCAAATTTTGAGCAGGCACAAATTTGGGTCAGAAATTATTCAAGCACAACATTCAACCACTAAAATAAATGTTTCTACTGAGGAATGTAAGTAAATAGCTGTAATTTGGCATCTGAATCAAAAAATGATCATGTGTTTAACTATTTCATCTCTTTTTTTGTAAAAGTACATTTGAAAATTCAGGAGTTAATTTGGGGCAGCCGTGGTAACTCACACTGTGTGGTGGTCTAATAGGTTTGTTGAGCACTGTATGTGCTTCACAGTGGTGTGCTACATTAGATGTGTCAGTCAGATGACCGATAACACCCTGACCACAGTGAACCAAAGTTGTTAAGTTGTTAAAAGTGCACCAGTGGTACAGGATGATGTGTTCTCAGGTGAGAAAAAGGCCATTTGGGTGAGACTGTTTGCTCTCTGTGGAAATAAATATGATCAGAAAAGATGCTAACATGTTTAGTATCAGTGCTTGTTAAAGTTCTTCTAACTATGCTAACATGCACAGTACTCACAGCATAGCTTCATTCACATTTGGTGGAGGTGGAACAGAAGTCTATTCTGCTATAAGGCTGTTGAACCTGATGAACCAGTGAGCAAAGACTTCATGTTCTTATTTGTGTAATCATTCCAACATAGTAGCATCAAAAGAACATAACAAATAATGCAATATAAAAAAATGATAACAAAAAACAGTAAGCTTGAATTATGATATTCCTCATCATTTGATCAGTAGCAACTCTTCCTTTCACAACTGACATTTTTTAATGTCACGTCGACATCCTTGTAGGAATTTGTCACATTTCATTCATCGTGGCTCTGAGTAAAAAGACATTTTGTGACACTTGTGACATGAAATCATGTAAAAAGGCATCTAAATAGTACATGATACAAGTGCAAAATCGTATTTTACAGTGAGGTAACACAATCGCATCATAAAAACCTTGACTCACCTTCATATTTCTAAAACTGTTAATAAGACTCAACATTTTCCCCTACCAGAATCCAATAACCAAAGTAACTCAACTGCAACTCAATTTATATCTGCTGCTTATATTTGGTTAACATTTCACTGGAATTTGGTAGCAAACATTTTTCCCTGGCCGTATTGCAGTATAATTACAGCCACGTCATACAATTTTACAATTCTAAATAACAGCACTGAGTTCAAAATGAAAACATGACTCCGTTACTCCACACATGTTCTAAAGTAAAAACAAGTCTTCTTGCTTGGCCATACATTTTCCTCGAATATCATTCTTCTGCTTTACGTAGCAGCATTCTGACTGGTTACCAGATCCCGCTGGATCTTCCACCAGGAGGAGCAAGGATCCTCGCTGAGGATCTCTTTGGAATGTTGTCATCGATTTGAGCACCTGGAGCAACCGGGGACAAGATCACGTTGGATTAGGCAACGAAAAACAAACAACTGCTATTGCCTTGAAGAACTTACTTGAAGCTCAGTCATACTTTGCAGTAGTACAGTAAAGGCTTCTCTAAAGAGCTTATGTTAAGTTCCGGGAGATTTAGGAAATGGAGCATAACTAAAAGGATGGAAGTGTTTGTTTGCTTTCCATTTAATCAAAGCATTTATGGTTTTGATAAAACTATTGGTAAGTAATTTGATGTAAGGTACAAATACAAGGATTCCTTCAGCATAAATGTTCACTATAACTACACTCCAATTATTATCTTCCCAGGTGAAGTGACTTCCCAGGCATAAAGCAACACTTGTTGCACAGTTAGAATCATTATTGGAGTTTTAACCTTTTCAGACGTGTTCTTCAGCATGCACCCTGGAAGCAGGTGAGATTCTGTCAGAAACCTTTACTCTCTTTCTACTGAGACTTTTTGCTGCCTGTCATTCGTCATTTCTACCTCAGCAGCTTGCCAGTAAGTACTGCTCTGATTATGCAGGCCTAAACAAACAAGTTTGATCCCAAACATGGGACAACTATAGTCTTCAGCTGACTTAAAGTGCTGTTATTCAAAGTTACTTTGACTATAGCGCCCTCATCAGGCCAGTCATTAGACATTTTATAAAACCAGCAGCAGCGCCACCAAATCACAAGCTACCAGTGTCCCGTAGCTTCCATTAACATGGAAATTCCTCCTTTTGTGTATCTATAACATAATTATAAAATTCACAATGCCATGTGTATGAATCAGCTGGTCCTCACCAGACAGGCTGAAGCTGGACTCATGGAGGTCCCTCATGCCCCCATGCCGGGTGCAGGGGCGTGTTGGAGTGTCCAGATCTGAAGAGCCGGTGTCTCTTTTTCCAGAATTTGCCACGGCAACAACTTCACCTGTGTAGGGTTCCCGCTCCACAGCTTTCACCGCCTGGCACTGGCAGAAACATTTAGCAATAAGTATTCCTTAAAAACAATACTTTCAACAAACTACGCTGCAGGCTTCCTGTAAAAATGTAGAGAACGTAAGTTGAAGTAGCACATATTTATTGACATTATAAATTAATCTCATTACAGTCTTCAAATCCTCTAATCTTGTCTGACATTCCCCCTTTTCAGAATCTAACGAAGTTCACACACCCTGATCCAAGAATTCTTATCAATTATTGAGATTTTTTTTTTTTTTTTAAGGAAAAAATATGAAGATGATAGGATCAGCAAACTCCCCTTGCTGTCCCCTAGCAGGGGCTTTATGTTCCACCAGGGGGCACTGAAAGCAATGCATGTTTTAGCAACTGAGTATATTTCTCAACCCCACTGCAAAATTTCTTAGATGCTAACTACACCTCCAGAATCAAGATTAATCAGTGGGAAACACTGAGCTTTGTAGTGGAAGCTCCAACAATCTCTAACATTTTCCCTCTCACAGAACATCCCAATTGATTAAGAGCTATTTGGCCAACTCTGGTTAAATATACAAATTCGTTTTTGATTTTCTAGCTTTCCATCTTTTGTAGTTCCACTATGGAGGATGAGACATGAAATCACAATAAACTACAATTATACATATAACTAAGGAGAAATATAGTGTGAAAAATACATGTTTCTAAATTATGATATAATTAACTTAAATTAGTGCAGCTCTGGTTTATTTTTAACCAACCTTCAACCTTTTCTATGATATTTGCCTTTTTAGTACTGCTTTGTCAATTATCCTATTTTTTTTTTCTATATAACAAATGGGAAGTTCAATCATTACAGTAGGGAGTGCGGCACCGGTGATAGAGAAAAATACATGAAACAACTGTGCCGTATCATCCTATTATAAAATGTAAGTTTATAAACCAATGCTGTGTAAATGTATTTCAGGTCAGGCTGATACCTTTTCTCTCTGAACCATCTTCTTGTAGAGATAATCCGGGAAAGTCCTCAGTGGGCAAAACTTTCCGGAGCCCTCGGCGCACGTGAACATGCCATTTTCGTAGACCAGACGTCCACGGCTGATGGTGACAATCGGTACACCGTGGCAGCGCAGACCTTCATACGGGTTAATATCACCTCCCTGCACCTGGTTTTCAACAGAAATGACCCTGTAGGCAGAGATTGAAAGACAGAAGTGACCCAGTTTAGCAAAGCAAACGCTGGATCAGCCTTACAGCTTTGATATAAAAGCTGCACTGAGACAAGCTGGTCGATAAATGGATGGATTGAGTTTCATACTTGGATCCCTCTGGGTCCCAGACCACCACATCAGCATCTGCTCCTGGGATGATCCTGCCTTTTCTCGGGTAGAGGTTGTAGATCTTGGCTGCATTTGAGCTTGTGACTGCTACAAAGCGATTCTCATCCATTTTACCTCCAATCTGAAAATGAGAACACGCACACACATTTGAATCCATTTCTAATACTAGGGATAAACACAAAACACAAACTGCTACTAAATCATTTGACCCAGTAAAAGGAGACCAAGATGTTTTTGTGTCTCTTCTGCCCGTTCTGTCTGTTTGTTAAAAGCTCACATTCATAACCACCAAAACAGATGTCCTATTTGTGAAAGTTCTCTGACAGCCACACGGGAACAAAAGAGCCACACATACCACCCCTTTCTCCCAGATGACGCTCATACGGTCCTGAATGCCAGGAAGCCCATGAGGGATCTTTGTGAAATCATCCTTGCCCATGGCCTTCTGTTTGACGGTGAATGGACGATGGTCAGACCCCACAACATTTAGAGTGTCGCTGAAGCAGGACAAAGGAAGTCATATTTATTATTAATTATTTAATCAGTGGAAGAAACAAGAAACATTCATATTAAATTAAACTTAACAACAGATGTTATAGTATTTTTTTTCTCACTTTCCAAGCAGGCTCATTAGAAAATTTGGAGTATTGGGGTCCAGGCGGAGAGGAGGCACAGTCACATGGGCAGCTGCATGAGACCAGTCCTGATGATAGTACTGCATACCGTTCAGGACAGTGTGGGCAGTTGTTGTTTCTCCGTGGACCACCTTACCTGTGGTCAGACATTTCAATAAGGACATATATTAGCTAGAATAATAGTGCAAGGAGCTTAAAAGACAAGCAAACACTGATTTTCAGTTGACTTTAGGATCATCAAAGCAGACATTTAAGTAACAGTAGACCAAATCTCATCAAAGAAATACATTCCCTTAATGGACATCACTTGCTTCAAAGATAGTAACACTAAATATAAAAGATAAAGAGCCTCACCTTGCATCTTGGCTGTAGCCACTACATCTCCAGCAGACATACTGGAGACATTCACAAGATAAATTGGGCAGTGGGCCTAACAGAAAACAAAAAGGTTATATAGTTAGGTCCACAAGTGCTTGTACAGACTTTTTAATACAAAAGCAGCATTAACTGTTGAAGAAGTACAGTTATTTTTATTCATAGATCCTTATTTTCAAAGTCTCAAAAGTACAGTAATTGGACAAACTACATGGATGAAAATAATTTCTACATACTTTTCGCTTACATCGTTCTAGTACAAGTTAATTTAGAGTTTTATCTGCTAAATCTGTGTTTTTTAGAGCTATACAGGCTCTTTGAGATGTTTTATGGCAAAGTCTAATCTGAACTTCCTGTTCCTGGGTGTAAGCAGTGGTTTGCACCCTGTTTTAAAGCTTCGGTGTATTTATATTCATAAAGGCGTCTCTTGATTGCAGACTTTGGCAACGATACGCCTACCTCCTCCAGAGTGTTGTTGACTTGGCTAGATGTTTTGAAGGGTTGTTGTTTTTTTAACCAAGAAAAGAACAGTGCAATCATCCACTTTAGCTGTCTTTTGTGGTGTTTCAGGCTTTTAGGTGTTCCTGAGCTGGCCCGCGCATTCATTATTTCCAAGAAAGTGTCAGATTGTTGATTTGACCACTTCCAGAGTTTTGCTGTCTCGCTGATTCAATTCAAATTCAATTCAATTAAATTCATTTCAGTTTTATTTACCAAATGATAAATACTGTAGTCTTAAGGTGTTTTAGATTATGGGGTAAAATCCCTACTTAAACTGTTTGTCAGTCAGCCATCCAGTTAGATTTCAGCCTCTGAAAATGGGGCACTGTGTATGAAAATGGTTGCTAAACAACTAATGTAATAGTTTTGTTAGAGCCCTTAAATTAAAGCCTAAAGTCTGCCCTTTAATTTAATCACATCCTGATTGTTGGTTTAAAATCAACTGTGGTTGTGCACAAAGGCAATCTTTGTCCAACAAAAACAGCTCTGTGCAGATTAATCATTGGAGTTAAATTGCAGTGTTAGCAGTGCTAAGATTGGTGATTAAAATGTTTTATGTTTAACATCCCTAGAGTTTATAATGACCTTATTTTGATTTCTATACTGCATTTTTTCTGACATCCTACTCACCCTGTTGGCGATGGTAATCGCCCTGTGGGTTGCTTCTGCTTCCAACTGCAAGGAAATCACAGTAAATCAAAGCAAGGAATTTATTCAATCATAGAAAAAATATCTCATATCCTTGACCAGAGTTTGGATATCATTAAGAGTTATAATTATAAATGTTTATACCTCTTCAGGCCTGCTGATTTCAATACCTTCTGGGCCACTAATGCCAAGATCCAATGCCTCCTTGGCACCCTGACAAAAAAAGTAATAATGTTGTTTTTTTTTTAAATATATAGAAAATGTAATTAAATAACTTTAACAATATTTTCATTTGCGTACACACACTGTAATTCCCAGTAAATCCCTTACCTCTGACACAAGTTCCCCATTCTCAGCATGGACCCTCGCTATGGCTCCAATGTCCTTACAGTGCTGCAGGACCTGGAAGAGTTCACTGTCCCGCAGCATGAACATGTCCTTATACGCCATGAACATCTGAAAGGAGTTCACTCCTTTGTCTCTTACCAGCTTCTCCATCTCAGCTCGAACCTGTACAAGGGGAACAATGACACAAGCTCAAATGTGGCCTCAATCTCCAAAATATCCTTATCCAGAAAAAAAAGGTTAAACTGAAGTAGTTAATTTGAGTGTTTAATGCCGTTATTTGAGTTACAGTATTTATTCTTGTAAGTAGGTGGGATCAAAGTGGATTTCTTATTTTTACAAAAAAAGTTTGATATTTTTGAAATAAATAGTTTGTTCCAGTATTGTTTTTAACAACTATGAAGTCATAAAGCAAATATGGGTCATTTCTTACTTGTTAATTTAAGTCAGTTATGAAATCCAGCCTGATTTAAGGAGAATGCAAAAATAGTTATTTTAAAGAGGATCTGTTATGCTTTTCCTTATTACTGTCAAATATAATACAAAGGATATAATAAATAATGACACAGTGTAATGTGTAATATATTGTAGATTACAGTTACCTCATTTTAATGCCTGCTCAGGACCTGATTTTGTTTTTATGGGGTTTGTTTTGTTTTTTTGTGTTGATGTGTAAAACCTTAGAATTGGCAAATGATGCTCTTTCTTTTTACCTTGACTGTCCTGTAGTGGTGGAGGCTCATATTAAACATGGCTAAAGATTCAAAGAATGAGGTCAGCATTATCATCTCAGGCACACAGCTAGCTATGAGCACAACAGCCCCACCCACTGGTTGTAAAGGGGCAACCAGATCAAAAGAAGTCGTCTTAAAGGGTGGGGTAAGGGAGCGAAAAAAGCTCGTTTCTGACAAAAGATGAACTCAGATGTTCATGAGCAAGCAAAATATGAATAAGGATTAATCTGAGCTGTAAATTCAAAGCTATCATAGCAGAACACTAGATTTAAAATAAGAAGCTGGAAATTAGCATAACAGGTCCTCTTTAAAAATAACAAGTCTCTTGCATTTATTTGTACTTTGACATATTAGCAGCTAAAGATCATCAAGTTCATTATTACAAAGTTATTTAAATTTAACAAGGATTTTAAAACATATTCCAGGTATTTCGAATAGATTCTGGTACTTTGTGAGAAAGGAAATGTGAAAAGTGCTGCTAACTGTTCCTAATATTGCATTTGGGGGGGCTTAGAAACCCATTGCAATACTTTATACACACTGGTCATTTATAATAATTTAAGTCACAAAGTTGAGTTTTTACTTTAGAAGAAGTGTTCGTGGAGGCGAAACGTATTACAATGACATAGAGCGACAGTGTTCCAGTACCTTGGGTCCCCACCAAGTAACTCCAATGTGCAGAGCGTAATCACAGCAGGCCTTGGAGTCGGCTGAGTTGCGGCACTTTTCGTAGGCTTCCAGCAAAGATTCGTTCCTCTCAGGGAGAACATGTCCGATCACCATGGTGGTGCCACCAGCCAAAGCAGCCTGGAAAAACAACAAAAGTAGCTCTGAAGTCACTTATAATGTCTAATTTAATTCTGTCAAATAAGTTGCAAAAAACATGTGGTGTATTTCCTGCTCTGCCATTCTTTCGTTTGCTATAATAGTTGATTTTTTTCACTGAGATGTTTCAGTTTAAAAGCTGTTATTCAGTTTGTTTAGAATCGTCAGCTGCAATTTAAGACTTAAATAATTTGAGACTATATGACACGACCTTAAATTAAATCCTTAAACTTAATTATTTGCTTCTTTAAAAATGATTAAATAGCACAAAATGGATTGATTTATGAAGCAATCCATTTTGTGCTATTTTGTGCTAGAATTTATGAACTACTAAAACAACTTTAACCTACTAATCAGCACAGCCCCGAGTCCAAGCATAAAAGTGATAGCTTCAATTACCATTAATGCTAATGGTTATCTTTACATTCTTGCTGATGGAAATATAAATCCTTCAGCAGTTAAAGCACAGGATTGAGTGCTCCTTACAGTGTAATCATGTTTTTTTAAAACCTACCAACTATATCATTTCTTTACAGCATCAGCACTTCTTACTTTTTAACCTCCTACGAGCAGATTTAGATGTTTCAGACACAAGTTAAGGAAAATCTTAATAACCCAAACAAGTGTTTTGTGTATAAGCGCATGCTTCACTGAGCATCTGTCAGCTGACCCTAGAAACTCGAGTGGCGTGCACGGAGTACGGGTGTTAGGGGGGCGTGGGTCTGGGAACCATTGTCTCCAAGCACAATAGCGTGAGTGAAAAGGCTTTGCGGCAATCTTTGCAGCAGCACCCCGGTATCCATGGAAACAGATACTGATCTGCATTTTTCTCTGGACTTATACTGGAGCAGGCAGGGAGGGGCCAGGAGAGAAACAGAGAAGAGGAATGACTGGCGGAGATGGAAAGCAGCAAAGAATTGTGTCTGTCACCAGCATCTACCGGCCTGTTCGCTCCCAGCATCCGTCACCTCTTAGAAAGCTGAAAGTACTACAGGGTGATGAGTCATCACAGTGCCCTGAAGCAGAGTGGGGTATCCCGGTTGTATCAGCCTCCAACATTCACCCTTGCCAAGAGCAAAATTGCCAAAACACCTTTGTCTAATTTTGGAGAAATAAACTCTGGATGCAACCCAGTGACATTTATTTTTATAAATGCTTCTTATATCCTTAGTAACAGCTATTGTTAATGTTAGTACCGCTGGTTTGTCTGCTTTTTCTGCTTTTTCTGCTTGCAGCTAGATCTTAAAGTTAAATGCTTCGTTACTATTTTATGTGCCAGTTTTTGACGTAATTTCTGTGCTCTGCTTATTTGCAAAGTAATAGATATATTACTTCTGGCACTCTTAAGGGAAGGAGGAGTGACCTATAAATTTGTGTCTGAGGTCTGACTTCTTAGTTCTAACTTTGACAGCAAAAGTATTCCTGCCTAAAATAACCTAAATATTTGATCTCCAAATATTAAGAAGAATCAAAACAGAATAATGATGCATTACTGACAGTGTGACTAAAATTAACATCAGTAAAAAACCTTTTTTCAATAATTCAATGGTCTCTGAATCTTAATCTTTCCTGTTGTGACAAAGGTGATAAAACATGAAGTTTGCTCTTTTGCTTCTCTAAATTTGGGACAATATGAAAAGACTGTTACCTTGGTACCGCTGTAGAAGTCATCTACTGTGGTGGCATTCATGAAGCTCTCCTCCAGGTGGACACTAGTGTCGATGCCCCCAGGAAGCACCAGTTTCCCTGAGGCATCAATCACTTTAGCCCCACCTGGGATCATCAGCTCCTTCCCCACCTGCTGGACGATGCCGTTCTCGATGTAAACGTCAGCCTCCTGGGTACAGTCATCATTCACCACTTTGCCACCCTTTATAAGGATCCGCACCATCGCTGAGCTGGAAGACATGGCTATTGATCTGCGAGGAAGAGGGAAACATACAGCTGAATACTTTTTGCTTTTTGTAGATACTAAAGGGTGGCAATCTGATTCAAAGCAACCACAGTGTACATCAAAACAGAAGAAAAGTTATAACCACCTGACAAATGAATCTGCAGTATTTCTATGAAAATAATCTGTTTACAGTACCTCATTTTTACAGCAGAATAAGATGACAGAGGAGAGAGAAGGATCAGTAATGCTGCTCTGGGACCAGTCTGTCACACTGTGACTGACATCAGCTACAAGGCTGAATAGGCTGTGTCAGTCACTGCCTGAGACCTGACAGCTCAGTGTGCAGAGGCGTCATAATAAATAGAAAGAAGCTGCGTCCAGTTAAGGGTCACAATAGGGCAAGCAAGGGTCAATGGGACTATTATTTTTGAAAGGACCGAAGGAGCATAACACTGCTTACACTCACTGTATTGTTATATTACAAAAATCTAACCCTAACCCTAAACCTAACCCTAAGAAAACATGTAAAAATATGTTTAGCTTAAACTGAGAATGGTTTCGATTGCCTCTACTCCATTTCCTAAACTGATGGTTGGTACGTACACATTTTCCACTTACATTATCTAAAATCATGTTATCATCTGAAATAGTCACCTCTAGATTTTAACTGCTCACAGGTGTGAATGCTGTGATAAAAATACACACACATGTGAATTGGATGGTGTAGCAAGCCCTCATATTTTAACAGCTAACTCCAGTTTTACATGTTTAAATCAGGTTATTTTTGGACCAATCCACAGTTTTATTCCAGGCAGTATGAAAACTTCCAAAGGTTTTAGGCATTTCTCATGTAAAATTAAATTCATTTATAGTAAGTAACAAATTATTACTCCAAAGACAATTTTATTGAGTAAGGCTGTCCGAGGCCTCTTGGTCCTAAAGGCCCCTCTACTCTTATCTGCTCTGTCCTAAACACGTTTTAACTCATAAAAGTCATAAATAAACACACACAATATTTTCTTTAAATCAGCTGTTGGGTAGCACAGATATAATTACTGTCAGTAATTAACGGCTCATCTGTGACAAAGAAGCAGTCTCTAAGGCCTACACCCTCCCTTCCCTCCACACCACTGTATTAATGGTGTGATGTGGTGTGTGAGTGTGTTTCCATCCTTGCGTGCTTGCGTACATGTGTGCATGAAGGATGCGTGCGTATGAGGGTGCGGCAACTTTACTGCAAGGCATGGACTCCTTACACATCCACATCTGATAGCTGATAATGTGATGGATATCCCATTATTACATGTACATCTATTGATACTCACAGGTGCTTTTTTACCCTCCTAAAGCCTGAGGGGACAGCTACAGGCATAATAAAGTCATTACTATATCAGGAGGCCTATAGCTCAGTTACCAGTACGGAAGTTGTCGGCGGTTAGTTATTATTAAACATAGGAGCTTGAGTTGCATGAAATCACTGCACGATAAATAAGGATACACTAAACCTTTAATATAAAATAAAGGTAATTACAAACTTATAACGCAAGGCTTCTTTCGTGGCTACATTGCTCAAATGCTCTTTATTTGATATTTTTCTTGTTCGTCCATAAAATAAATGTAATAAATCCCTCGTAAAAACCAAACGTGCTTTTAAATTGGCGCCAGCCACAATGATTATTCCAATAAATATGGCAATTTTGCTGATTAGCTGTGAACACAGTGAAATGATGACACTTCCACTTGTGCGACTTGACACAAAGAAACCGGTCTCCATCCGGCATGATCGGCTTCACAGCGTTCATTACCGACCTAGAAAAGCGTCCTCTTAACTCTCAGTCTGCCCTCCTCTCCTCTTCCACAATGAGCACCAGTCTGCTATCTAAGTGGCCTCACATTATCATCACACTGCCCTCATGCACGGTGAACGGATGCAGCTGCACTTGTAGGGTGTGTATAGATCACGGGGAGGATGGAAGAAACACCAGGTAGGGACCAGACGTGTAGCCAAGGGGCATGGAAACAAAGTCTCCGTGCTCCAGGAGAGGATTTGCACCCCAGACACAGTCACTGCAGCCTAGCAGACCTAATAATTCTGACGACGTGGACCACATACCTCCTCTATGGGCCTGCTGCTGCTCCACTCGGATCACTGGATACTTTCTCAACACAATTCAACACAATCCGTGGATGGCACTTCCCAAGGAGATATACACACACACACCAGATGGATACCTTCCTGGCCGGTCCGGGACCATCAGGGGCAGCATCATCACCGTGAAGTCAGCAATGACATGCAAGCAAGACTTCTTATCGTGACTTTCAAAATAAAACAGTTGTTGAGCCCAATGCAACTTCTAGTAAAGTAATGCGAATATAGAGTAGATTTTCATCATGATTTGTATATAATTGATCAGCTGCTACCTAACATCAAGCTCAAGAAAGAAAGAAAGAAAGAAAGAAAGAAAGAAAGAAAGAAAGAAAGGGAGTTTTCTACAACTTATTGATGTTAAAAATGTGTTAGAATATATTTTAGAGCAGCTCATGTTTTATAGCTTTATATCAAATGTTATCAAATAAATAAATAAAAACATTGTATCTAGTAATTTTTAGATACATATGATGGAAGACAATAATTTGAGGTAATTCTTTTTTAAATTATTTTTCAATAACAATATTTGTTTATTTTATTTATTTATTTTTGTCACTGATTCACAAAAAACTCTTGAGTTATAACTAACCAATAACTGCACTAATATTGTCTTTGCATAAAATAACTCAATGAAAATTACCTAAATTATACGATCAGTGTAATTTATATCAGCACCGATATCGAAACGCTATAACTAACTATGATGGTATAGCTACTATATTTTATTTTGTAGGAAAATCAGCACACTTCCGGTGTTTCTGTGATTAACTTGACGCAGCTCGCAGCATCCAGGCCGTGCGACTGTGTGACGCTCCAATCAGCAGCGTTCAGTGAAGGCTTGGTTGCCCAAGCACCCAATTAATTTGGACTTAGGGCGTGTTCACTCTGAGGAGGCCGTACCACTACCAGATCAAGAGGGTGATTATGAAGACAGCAGTACAGCAAGGCTGATTGAAGTACCCTTAGGATTCATAGTTAGTACTAATGTAACGGATTTAAAGGATTATGTATCTTTATGAGGTTCACCTTGAGGTATAAGTAGCTCGTTTACCTTTTGTGCGTTATCTTTCAACGACTTCAGCTTCATCTGCCACAGCTATAAATGAGGTAAAGGGGGGAAAGAAAAAGAAATTCTATTGCAAGCAAGAAAATGGTACTAGCAGAAAGTGTAACTGCAGGCGACTCATCAGCTCTGATTGGTGGCTGAATTAGAAGCTGGAGAATGGCAACATGTTCAGGTTTAATGTGATCAAAGGGGAGCTGCAGGCTGTCACCTGTATTTAAAGCAGTGAGTCGTAGTGAACTCAGGTGCCAAGACACTGAGAGATCCTCTGCTGGAGGAGCATGGAAACTGGAGCTGAATATCAATGTTCACGGGCTGCTGACAGTCACAAGCTTATAATTGCCTAATTATGCAACATTATAATTATACTATGATTTATACTTTTATCATTTTATTCAGTATAATTAAGATATAGTAGGCTATATCTTAATTACAGACTAAGTTACAAATGAACAAATACTGAAAATCATAACATTAATTC